ACCCAGAGAAATTTGAAATTTGAGGTTTGGCTTTATTTGGCACTTTTCTTCTTTTTTCTTTGCTTTTACTTTTTTAGTTTATCCTACATAGAGGTTTGTCTCCTTCATGTTTTTTATCTCCTTGTCTAGTTATTTCTTTTCAGTCCCATGTATTTGTTATGTTCTCCAAACTGATGCGAATGATTATGCAATTTTATAAATGCTTCCTTCATTAATGAAACATTTGTTGTTTCTTTGTTTTTTATGGGATGTATTTGAGGTGAAGGGAATCAAATGAAGTAATGCATCTGAAATACCACGCCTGGCTTGGTTTCCCCAGTTCCTAAGCCAAGGATAATGTTTTCTTATGTTGTGCACAAGTAGGAGTCTCTTTGAATAGGTTCTGATTACACCTCTCCTTTTGAGAGGACTGCGTCAGTAACTCAATGGACAATGAGACAATTGTTTTAACAAAAAAGAACATTTTACTTAAAAAAAATAGAATTTTTAAAGCATTACTGCATTTCTGGTTTAGCTACTGTTTTAAGTGCTTGCTTTAAAAGTCTTTAGTCTTCTTTGGTCTCGCAGTGATTGGTGTTTTTAACTGCAGTACTTTGAAGTGACTATTATTTTCAGTGTTAACCAGTTGCCAAGTGGCTTTGTCCTTTGCAACCTGACAAGGGGATGTCCTTTGCTCTGAGGAGGTCACATTTTAGAAAGATAGCTTGTAGAGCTTCAGTGCTTTTCTCCCTCTGTTCTCATGGAATTGTCTTTCTTGAAGAGCAGTTTTGTAGAGGAATGACAAAGAGGAGAGGTCCTGAGTCCCTCTGGGTACATGTCCCAGGCACAGGTGGCAGAGCTGTGAAGCTGCTGCCCGTGGCTCATCTCAGTTGGCATTCTGGGCACTGCTTGGGGTAGTTAGGGCCATTTCAGACCCAAGTGCTTTGAGAAGATCCAGAAAACCGAATCTGATTCCTGTAACTCACTTGACTATGGAGAAGCAAAAGCAGCTACTCTGATATTTATATAAATCAGAGGTTTCCATCTTCATAGGATTATTTCTCCTTTCACATTTCCTTGAGCTGTATTCCAAGAGATATCAGGACCCATCTATCTACAGTGCATCTCTCTTGCTTACATAGTGTCTCGGACCTCACAACATGTATCCTTGGAGGAGCAGGACAGGGGTTGTTAAAAATTTATAGTGGGAGACTGAGTATCTTAACCTCTGTCTGTGACAGAGAATGGTGTTGAACCTGGCTTTCCCAGATCCTTGCACCTCAACCATCACCTTTCTTTCTACCTATGGGAGAGCTGGAGGAGCAAAGCAAACAGGATTTGTCTCTATGAAATGAGAGCTTGTAATAATAAAAGTCTTAACATCTTGCTCCTGAGAGCTGGCAATATAAAGTATTTAATACAATGTGTGTCTGCAGCTATACTGTTTCTGGCTGACTTCAGAAACCCAAGCCTTCAAACAACATAAAGCTAAATTAAAATGAAACATTAAAGAAAGACAGTTTGGGAGTTCTCTTTTTTTTTTTTTTTTTGGTATTTTATTTCTTTGGGGTTTTTTTAAGCATTTGGTTGAGAAACATGAGAACTAGATAGTTTGGATTATTTTTTATTTTTTTCTGAGAAAAAAGATGCTGAGATTCTCCCCTAATTATGGAGCTTTGGAATCCGTGACACCAAAGATCACCAGAATGACAGTGTGTTCCTGAGATTTGGCAGTGTTTCAGAACGAGAAAAAACATGTGTTGAAGAGTCAGTTTGTTTGGTATGATATCAGAGGTCTGTAATGGAGCTGTTACCCACGCCCCTTTTTCCTCTTCTAGCAGTATAATTAAACAGTTAACACATTTCAGAAATAATGGAATAATTAATGTAATTAAGCAGGGATTCTTTCACAAGCAAAGAGCGTGGTAAAGCAGCACTGCTGTTTCTCTGGCATAAGAAACATTTATTTCCACCTGAATCTTTCACCTGTTTATATGAAGGTAAAGGGCAGAACAAAGTTTCCAAAACTGCTCAAAGTGACATTTTCAAAAGCAGTACTCCATAAGTATGTCTCTAATTAGGAAATAAGTGAGCTTTGGACTTTTCAGATGGAAAAAACAGTGCTTAGGCAATTTTGAAAATGCTACCCCATGTCTGCCTTATTTTATTCTTCTGATCCAATATGTTCATTTAAACAGACCTCTCCCTCGGATGAGGCAAGCAAGAAGCAGCTTTTAATGCCCCACCGCCCATCAGTGGACCATGCAGACGAACCCTTTCAGAGGCAGAGGGCAGTGAGCGCTGTCAGCATCATCACCAGTGCCCTGGAAGGTAAGACACCTTTAGTTCCTGAACTCAAAGCCATGTGCGTGTTGCTTGGCAGGAACAAAGTGGCACAAAAGACCCTAATATTGCACTCTTGTTATTTTGCAAGAAGGCATTATAGGCAGTTATTGCAACCCCTACAATATAGGTGAAGCTCTAACAGTATATAACATATATATATATATATATACACAAAACATCTATATTCATATATATATACATATATATATATAAAACAATATAATCATTATCTTACCCATGGACTTGTAAAAATCCTGACAAAATGTTGGCCATCAGATTCAGATCTGATAACATTTTGGGTGCCCCTGTCATTTGATTTACACAGGACTAACCAAGACACAGGGTGGTGGAGCACCAGACTGGATGACTGCTCATACATTTGTATCTCATCTCTCTGGATCTTTTGTGAAGTGTGGTGTGTGCAGTCACCAGCTACATGCAGAACTTTGAAATAGTGGAGGAAAGTCTCCTCCTTGCAGAGCAGCTAGTGGAACACAACAGTTTGGTGGGTGTTTGAATCCCACCATGAAATTTAAGGATGCTCAAAGGACCCATTTGCAAATATTTCTTAGCAAATTTTTCCATTGCTCATTAAGCTTCTCATTAGGTGCAGGAGGATTTCCTTTCCCTGTCTTTCCATACACAAGAACTTGGCATTTCCCTTTCACAAATTTATTAATAGCAAGACAACAACTCATAGCAAGACATCACATTTGTAGGCTCTTTGCATGCAGCATGAAAGGGCTTCCTACAGTTTCTGATGTCTCCTACATTGTAAATTGAGACAAGATAGGAGGTAGCAACTAAGAGCATAGAAAAATATCTGTCAAGAAGGCAACGTGGAGCAAGGGAAATTTTGGATTCTCCCGCAGCCTTATTCTCTGTGTTGCAGATGAGTAGGAAGACAAGGAAAGGTGGAGGGACTTGACTGGGAGATGCCTCACAGAAAGGGACTGGACCTAGCCCTTTAGAGACACAGTGCAGCATGTAGCCACAAAGCCCTTCTTCTTCCTCAGCTTTTTACCATCTCCTTCTTATTTATTTAATGGTAGAGTCTGTTAACATTTTGCTACTGAAATAGAGATTATCAAGTCTATAACTCAGAGGATGTACATTTTTAGCTTCATATAGAAGGAAGTTGTTTCAATCCTTATAAAGGATTTTCTAACTCAAACTTTGATTAGTCATTGAAATTGAAGACTTGTTAATAACAAGAGGAATATCAAATCAGAATAAAATGTATCACAGGCTTTAACTATAATAATAGCTGTGTGATTTGTGCCAAACTCTGTGAAACTGCCAGACCAGAAATCCCTTCCCCTTTAGTTACCTGGTTTCTGCTTTTAACTCTTGGGTAGTCATCACCTCCCTGTTTTCCTCAGACATCACAAAGCCTTGCAGTCAAGGAAGGACCTAGGGGTTTTTTTTCCTTTAAAAATAAGAGGAAAGATACCTCCAACACAAATATTGACTGGGTTTTTTTTGACCTTTATTTTTTTTTTTTAAAAAAAAAGCAATGTAAAGTAACATAAAAAAGCAGTTGAGTCTAATTTTACTTTTTCTTCTGTGGATGTCTTTCAAAAATTCTTAAATCTGTTATGATTCCCAAAGGTAACCCATGGTGGGAAAGGATGTGGGATTTTTAATTTATTTAAACCATGTTAATACCACATTACCACCAAAAGAGGACAGTCACACCTTCCTCCTTCCCTTGCTGTGTTCCTGCAGTTTGATTAGACTTTACAAACAATTGGTTTTCAACTGGGTCAGCAAGCAGAACCAGCTCACCCAGAAGGTCCAGGAGCACAAAAGCTGGCCAAAGGACAGAGAAATAACATGTGGCTGAGGCTGAGAGGGATGAAACTACCCTTTTCAGCAGCAACCTGGACTTAAAGGGGTTTGTGTTGAGTGTGGAGCCTCGGAGAAGAGAGTCATACATCTGATGTGTGTCCATCATGAAGGTCCCCAGATTAATTACAAAGGAATAAGAAGGGCTGGTTAGAAGTGATTATGATGAGTATGGATATAGACAGGTATATTCTTCTGGATTTATCTAGAAAAGTAGGTCCTTTAGGAAGTAACTGCCCCAAGGTAGGTTTTCCAAAAAAATGCAAAATTAAGATTTTGCATTTAAATTGTTTGGGGCGTGGATGGTTCTCACATCATTTTAAGCACCTGTAAACCCTCTGTTTGGAGGCTGGAAAGGTATAGTTATTCCTTGTGAGCAATTTGGTTTCCCAGAGTTCTCAGAACAGTGTAGATGTTTGTGCAAGACTTGTACATGGAGGACATCATCTGATATTTTGAAAGCTTGCTACAAGATACATAATACTGCAGCTCTGTGTCCAGTGAAGGAAAATGCATAGTGAATGCATCAGGGCTTGAGAGAGGAGGCTGTTGATAAACTGATTGAAATAACAGCCTTGGCTGAAGTTTTCCTGTTATCAGTGCAGGTTCTAATTATATAGACCAAAACCATTACACAGCTTTCCATGCCCACAAAAGAGTCAGAAAAGGAAAGCATTAAGCAATTCCACTAATCATTATCATCCAGCCATTACCTGTCTTTTTAGGCTTTTCTTTTTCACCATTTAACGCAAATTATACTTATGAAGCTATTTCAATTCTTTTGTGCTCAAATAAAAGTTGTATTTTCAGTAATATTTTAAAAGCATCTTTAAAAAGCATGCTGGAGCTTTAGTAGCAATTTCAAACTGATTTATGCAGTCCCCTGATTTTGTATAGTGGGTCTTTCAGAAGAAATCAGATGCTTAACGACTTTTTGGATTGCACATCAAGAACAGAAACCCTATCAATAACCAGTGATACTCTGGATCACAAGTGCTTAAATAACCTCTAAATATTGGGTTTAAGCTCTTTCATCTTTTAACTGCTTTAAAAGGTATTACTTAAGATACTTCTAAAATGGGACCTGGGAGTGAAAAACATATATTCTGATCTAAGTTAAATGATGATAGTGCATCTTAACCATTTGAGCTTGCCAAAATGGAAAACAGAGTGAAAATCTGAGCCTATGTACAATACTGGACTTTACGTATTTAGTGTGATTCTCCCTTTTTGCTTGTGACACTTCAAAAAGGTTATTACTTTCAGAAAAGGTCACTATCTGCTAAGTGCAGGTCAGCTGGCAAAAACCCCAAAGTGCATAATTTGCCAGCCTGTTAGGACAGAAATATTTTTACCCTAAAAAAAGTTTGGGGTAATTCAGGGGCCTTCCTCTATGTTATGAGTCATTTTAAGTGTTTTCTTGTCATATAACTCAGTGTGAATTGACTGTTACTTTCCTGCTTGTGACTTAGAGCTCGAAGAATCACACCAGAAATGTCCTCCCTGCTGGAACCACTTTGCTGTTAAATTTCTCATTTGGGATTGCTGCCCACTTTGGCTTTTAATCAAGAAATTTGTCAAGTTCGTGGTAATGGACCCATTTACTGACCTCACCATCACCCTTTGCATTGTGCTGAACACGCTCTTCATGGCCTTGGAGCATTACAAGATGACGAAAGAGTTTGACCACATGCTTTACATAGGCAATTTGGTAAGTGAAGGTGAACCTGAAGTGCTACCCAAGGAGTGTATTTCCTGGTTTTTATAGTTTTGTCTGAGGCTTGGGAAGACCCTATTTTGATATGCTGTCAACATTGCTTTGCCTATGACACATCAAGAGAGTCCACACAGTCACCTTTTTTGGGGGGTGAAGAGAAATGAATGAAGGACAAGGATCCATTTTTATTAAGCAAACATGTTCTGATGTTACTAGTAACCATTAAAGCCATGTTTCTTGGATGTTCCTTGATAGGTTTCTAGTTTGCATCTGTTTAAGGAAATGAGATAAAAGAAAGGTTAATGAGGTTTATTTGGGATTTCTGGTAAAGCAATGATGAGGCAGCTGTTCTTGGTGACTAATAGTGACTTTTAAGTTAAAAAAACCTACAGGAAAAAACCACAAAAACCGAAACAAACAAACAAAAATCCCCAACAAAAAAACCCAAGGCAAGATCTTGGAGGGAAATTATGTTTGAGCGTATCTAGTATGTATGCAGGAAGGTGCCTGTGGTACACTTGCTGTATGTCCCTCCCTGCCTTGTCCAGCTGTGTGTGCAGTGCAAACCGTGGGGCAGAGGGAACATGGAGCAAAGCATGGCTGATGCTTCAGAGGCAAACCTTTAACATGCAGGCTGGAGCAGCTGGGAAGAGAGCTGCAAAGTAAGCAGAGACTGCACTTCTCCAAGGAAAAGCAGGGTGGCAGATCTACAGCCAAGCTGCAGGGGCAGCAGAAAAGCCTTTCCAGTGGTGATGCAGTACAATTTCTTAACCCAGGGGGCCACACAAATTCTGCAGTTACTACAAAACGGAAGCTTTTTCTTTAATCATCTTTCTCTGCGTTTATGTTTAAAAGTTACCACGTTTTACTGCTTTAAAATTTAACGTTTAAAATCCTTTTAATTCTAGAAAAGTCTGTAATGGAAAAGGCACAGGCCATCTAACTGTGATATGGTGGAATTGTCCCTAAAATCTAGTGGCAGAAGCAGAGGTGTACTATAGGAGCATAAGTAAGTTTGTTGTACCCTGGAATGTGGATGCTGCTAAATTTGCATTTTAGAAGCTCACAGAAGAGATGAAAAAAAGCCCTTTATTTCTATAAAAACAAGGGCTACAGTATCTCAAAGTAGGATTCACCTTGCCTAACTTTAGATATTTACAGCCTGGGAGTCTGCCAGAGCTGGTTGCCTTTGTCTCCCTTTAAAGTCAATGGAGAGTAATAAACAATTTTAAGGCATAATTAATGTGGTGCCTTAAAGACATTTACTTTTGGAGAAGCTGAATTATGTCCTGGAGGCCAGTGACTGTAGTAACCATGGAATGTAGTGGGAGCATGCAGAGACAATACAGATGTGATATCTGCCTTTAGTGAGAAGCATCTTATGCTGGCAGGTTTAGGTTCATAGTAGCAACAATCAGGCTTTTTGTATCAGTCATAGCATATGTGCTACATCACATATGGATTTTTTTTTTTTTACTCTGGTGCCTCTTCGGGCAGGTTGATGTTCTCAGCTGTGAGACTAGTCTCCAGTTTTTAAGCTGTTATGTCTTGGCAAATCTCCCTCTGTTGTGCTAAGTAAAAACCTGTTTGGGTCTCTCTTGCTTCAAACTCACACTCTTACCCTCTGAGGAAAGCAATAGATAAGGGTAGATCGGATAGTCATCTCACAGGACTGCATCCAGCTCCACTTTGCAAGCCAGCCTTCCTTATAGTTCAACAATTTGTGGCCATCTAAGATGACATAAAAAAACTCCTTTGGACCCAGTATCCACTAGAGCAGGTGGCAATGCTGCTGCTTCCGCCTCTGGCACTTGGGATAATAAATACGTCTGCTCCTTGTTCTGCTTTTGGCAGATCAGCTTCTCCCTTTGCAGATCACAGGCAGAGAAACTTTAGCCCTTGGCATCCCTCCTACCAACACAGCTCCCACAGACCTGCCGGGCTGAGCGAGGCTGTGCCAGGTGCCAACAAGGAAATAGAGACAACAAGCAGAGGGAGGAATTGAAAAGCAAATTTTGCAAAATAAAAATAAATAAATAAAAAATTACCTCGCTGTGAGTTTCTCAGCACTGCCTAGAGCTATTTCTCCTCTTTGTGATAAAGTGTAAAATAAGCAAAACAGCCTGCTAATATTTTTTGTAGTAAGCTGATGGCATGGGGCTGCCCTTCTACTGAGATTCCAGGATGGGCTGGTGAGAGGCCAGACTGTCCCAGGTCCTCCTCACCAGCTTTACTAAACCCCTGCGTAACTGGATTGATTGCGAGTAGAGCAGGTCCAAGGAATGTAATTCCATTTTGTGGAGGATTTTGAAAAGTCATTTGTAATGAAAATTGACATTTTTTGCAAACTCCTGTGAAAGGGAAGGGAGTCTCAGCTCCAGGGCAGGCTGCCAGGTGACCGCATCCCCTAAGCCGCAGACTGCCAGACCCCTCCTCTGCCCTGGCTATCATCTTCCTATTGCATCTAATCCTCTTTGAGTGATTATACTAGCATTAAGTAGGGAAAAATATTAAAAAGGGCAGATCTTTGGCATTTTTTTCTTGAAAACAAATGTTTCTGAAATGAAAGAATGAAAGTGGAAAATAGATTCACTTTCTCTGAGAGCGATTCTTCGTCTGCTACCAGTGATTGGAGATCTCCCGCTGTGATTGTCCGTCTACTTCATGCAGCACCTGCTACCTTCAGTCTCCTTTAGTTCATCACTTACAGGAATTAGCATTTCCAAATGTTATGAGAAAGCCAGCCAAGCACACATACATCTTTACATGGTTCAACTACCTATGCAGTACCACCACTTAAAAAATAGGTACCTAGAGCAAATTTCTCCCAATTTCAGTTTTCCTTCAGAAACTGAGATACCATTATGCAATATTAGAGCTTAAATAGCTGAAAAGATAGACAAAATATTTTTTTAAAGACAAAGCCCTGCAAATCAGTAGTCTCATATTCACCAGCAGTGGGATGTTAAGTTACTAGTTTCCTTTCCAGCCTTTATCATATTGAGTATCCAGCCTCTTCTACAAGCACAGTCGCTGCGTACCAGGTGCCAGCGATTTGACAACTGCCATTTGAAATTCGTAGCTGGTAAATGTACATGATTCCTGATGCCTTTAGGAAGGCTCAGACATTTTGCTACCTTACTGTGACATTTCCTTCTCAGAAGGCTATTGATTAAAATGATTCAGGCAAAGAAAGTGATCCTCCTGAGTCATTTCTCAGCAAGATGGTTGCATAATGTACACAGTGTGGTATCGTGGTTTTTAAGGCAGTCCCTTGGATACAATTTCACAGACATCAAGTTTTGTCTTGTTCTCTGTCCTAAGGGAAATTGAAGAATTGTGGTAAGAATCTTTGGTATCTCTGACCTGCGTGACTCAGAAATTTTTGACTAGTTAGAAATATGAGACAGGTTGCTTTGTTTAGGTTCTTGATATGAGATGGTGATGAGATGACAGTCCAAATTGTTGCAGCCCAAAGTATTATTTTCCTGATGAGAAAGAGAAGGTATTTTGCATAAGGAATTGTGTAAAATGGCTGCTTAAAAGAATTCATTCCTGAAGCATTACAAAGTAAAATCAAACTTTCCTCAAATGCAGGTTATGATAATTTATTTTTATTCCTTAATATATTAATTATATAATCTTAACTTTTCCCTTCCACATCTTAATGGATTTCTCGTCTTTGTTGATCAGAGTTGATGAGTTTTGCTGGGATATTGCCATGAATATTCAGCTTATTAGACAGAAAATATTTATCCTTAACTGTATATTACTGATATGTGGGCTCTGGATTCCCCCCTCTTTTCGGACCTACACAGTGCATTGATGTTGGTTGTTTCATGGAAAACTCTGTGCTTACAGTACAATAGAGATTTTTTTTCCCAAACATGAAGTTTGGGAAAAACTGGTACTGGTGCACCTGGTACTGGGATTTGGAATGAAAATAAAACAGTATATGAAGAACCTGATATCCAGATTTTGTCATTTTAAGCTGACTGTAGCCTTGCATTGTGCATTTTAACCGGTACTTAAGGAGGGCATATGAAAGGACAAGATCAGGTTCTCTAAGATACTTTGCAGGAATGTGTTAAAACTGAATTTGCTGTCAAGAGCCTTCCCTTCCCCTCTCCCTCTGCCTCATAGATAATATTTATATGTTGTTTTAAAGAAAAATGTTCCAATTAGTAGTTTCACCATATGACATTCGAACTGGGTCATAAATAAGCAATGTGTTCCCAAGATGCTGTGAAAAGAAAATTGCTGTGACTATTTGTAAAAAAAAAAAAAAAAAAAAGAAAAGAAAAAATAAGACTAGGACTCAAATTAGAGTTTCTAATCACCTTTGCTGCCAGCAATAACTTCAGAATGACTGGAGGCTTGCATTGCCCTGGTATTGATAATAGTAACAAAATAAAAAGGCACAACACAGCAGGTACACTACAACCCAAATACCCTTTTAACACTCCCACTCCATTCATTCAGTGGAGTTTCTCCACTGAAATGAATAGATTTAACCTTTATAAAAGGCACTTTTACACTTTCTTTTTTAACCACTGAGAGTATTCAGATGGCGGAAGGAGATGGAGGTGTATGTTCCAATCCAGAGCTTGAACTCAGATATCATTGTAAGTTTACAGCAGTACCAAATATGACTGTGAGCAGACTAAACAAAGTTGTAATAGTGATGAAGAATCAGCCATGAAAAATAAAGTATTTGCTTTTAAAATGTTTCTGACTTCCTGCTGTGTTCACCTGTATAAGTGTAAAGTCTGTAAGCAAGGAGGTGTGCTTAAAAGGTTACTTTGACTTCATATTTTTTTTCTGCAGGTCTTCACTGGGATTTTTACAGCAGAAATGATCTTCAAAGTTATTGCCCTTGACCCCTACTATTATTTTCAGCAAGGCTGGAATATTTTTGACAGCATAATTGTTATTCTAAGCCTGATGGAACTGGGTTTGTCCAGCATGGGAAACCTGTCTGTTTTACGCTCCTTTCGACTGGTAATGGTCTTATTCTGTTCTTCCTCATCTTCTTTCATTACATATAAACTCTGACATGAATGCAACGTAATTTCTTAAAAATGCATCTGCCAATAAAGACTTTAATTGCTGCAAACTGGTGAACACTATGTGACAATAATTATAGGCTGTGGGATAAATAGAATTGTTCCAGATTTACATCAGGATAAATGAGAGCATAATTTGATTCCTTCTCGCTGTGCTAGGTACTTGTAGCACACTTAAAATGTTTGAGTTCCAATTTGTAATGAAAATCTTCCATTTTATACCTGTACACCTGTTAGCATAGTCAGCAGATAATTGATAGCCCAAGAAATGCAAGAGCCAGTAACTTGTCGTTTTAGGAGGTGTTATTCCTAAATTATGTTATAAACATGCCACCATTCTTTTAAATGTTGTCAAAAGAAAATGTCTTTGAATTATTCACTGAGTGATTTTTTTTTTGTAGAACTGATCAGCATAACATAGCATCTGTCTTTCATGGGAACTCCTTAGCTGTCAGCTCCTTTGTTATGCACGGGATAGTGGTATTCTATTAATGAGAGACTGTCGACATATTGGAACAGAAAAGTAGTTTCCTTGCCAGCCTGACATTTGTGTTGCACTTCATGTACCAGGATGTCCATGCTAATCATTCTGGCCATGATATGGCTTCACAACTTGGAAAGACCAGGAAAATAAGCCCTTATGGTTACATTTATCAAAAGACCTTTTTTTTTTTTTTTTTTTTTTTTTTTTTTAATCTTTTAAAAAAATATTTTATTTCTGAAATTCACTGTGCTGATCAAAAATACAAATTTTTCACCACTGCTGTTAGATTCTGAGTCTCCTGTAATTTTTTGAGCAATCCCTCTTCAATAGGGCTGAAATTAAACCTTCAGTTGAAAACACAGCATAAGGGCTAGGAACCATTTACATCCTTAAAATAGGTCTTAAGTGGGACGTGGGTTGTGCATAGACTGCATGATCCTTGGCACAGAGGTGATTTTCACCCTGGGAACTAACAGCTAATAGCATCTGGCTGAGGCTTGCTCTGAAACACAGAGGAGTTGCTTCTCTCTTTGTGGGATCAAACCTTTAACCCCTTCCCCCAGATGCCTTCCAGGCAGTTTAATTTGAGGAGGAAAATCAACGTAAAAGAAAATGTTGAGACTTGGGATTTCCTCCTTCCATCCTCTCACCACTATGATATTGGGGAAATGAGCCTCTAAAAGCAAACCTATCTAATAAGTCAGAGTGTAGCTCTGGAAAACTTAATTCTCATCCAAGAAGCCCAACTCATATCTTATTAATAGATATAGTGAGGTTAACAGGAAGCATGGCCAAAATCACCTCGTACCACACACACTGTGGTGTTTAACATCTTACACTTGTTACTCACTTTAATAATTTATTGGCTGAAATGTCTGTTGCTTCTGTGAACTGACACTGTTGTTTATGTTTTGTTCACAGCTGCGAGTCTTCAAATTGGCAAAGTCCTGGCCAACCTTAAATACGCTTATTAAAATAATTGGTAATTCAGTGGGTGCCCTCGGTAACCTCACTCTTGTGCTGGCAATCATCGTCTTTATTTTTGCCGTGGTAGGAATGCAGCTTTTTGGGAAAAGCTACATGGACAATGTGAAGAAGATAAGTACAACTGGCAATTTGCCACGGTGGCACATGAATGATTTCTTCCACTCGTTCCTCATCATCTTCCGAATTTTGTGTGGGGAGTGGATCGAGACCATGTGGGACTGCATGGAAGTAGCTGGGCAGCCGCTGTGCCTTCTCGTCTTCTTGTTGGTCATGGTGATAGGAAACCTGGTGGTAAGTTCTCAGGATGTTTTTTTCTTCCTTTCCTGTTGGGTGTGTGCAATTGTACCATTTTTTTTTATCCAGCAATGGCACATCTCGCATTGCTCCATGGCTTTTATTTAAGGAAGTATGTTTTCACCCAGAGAAACTTGTTAATAGCCCAAATACAAAGTTGCTAGCATTGCATTACTAATTAGAAATGAAGACTTACTGGTTTTTGCAGAAGAACAGATAATGTTTTATTAGAAGAAAGGCACGTGGGCTGGTTATAATTATTTTATTTCTTAAGCCATTCACGGGGCTGAATGGATTCCAGATCTCTTTTCTATACAGGAATGAGTATCACCTCAATGGTCACTGTATTGGGAGATATTTTTATTTCTTTTCACTTTTGGTCTAGAACACAAGAACTTTACAGCTAGCACAGTGTCTTTGAATGGAGTTTTGAATGTCCTTAGCCTGCATGTTCTAGGAAGCTGCAGGTTGTGTTTACAGTAATGTCACTTGCTCTATTGCTTTCTTAATAGACTATCCCATAAGCACGGCTTACATAAGCTCTGAACCTATTAAGACTGAATTGTATTTCCCTGTTGACATCTTATGGAGCGCTTTGCTGGCTTGCAGTCATTGTGGAAATGTTTTGCCTGTTCAGCTTACAGAGCATCTTTGACATTGTGGCTCTAATGGGCTTACTGTTTATGTAGTGAGTTGTTTAATAGTGGATGCTGCTATAAAAAATGGATTCTGCTACCGATTGCTTTTAGTGGTTGTTTTGCTTTTAAGTACCCAATGTTTCAGTTCTCAGCTGCTGAGATAGAAAAGTTCTTGAAAGAGCTTGTAGAAAATCAGAGCACATTGTTTTGTTTACATTCATTTATATTTCAACAGTTAGTTTTGCACTGAAAATGTTGATTGCAATAACAAATTCTATTTTATATGTTTTTGGGGTTTTTTAAAAGTCAAAAGATTAAACTATGACTATTCAGAAAGTGGCAGGTTATTTATATTTTTTTCCCTAACTTCCTGTCTCTATAGATTTTTCTTGGAATTAAATGTCTTTAGAGGAGCTGGGGCAAATTATGACTGTCTGCATATCTTTTGGGGGAGTTTAGCCTGAGATCCAGAAAGTTAATCTCCCCCTGCCATTAAGCAATAGATTCTGTGTATGATAATGAAACCTGAAATTAATATTTGGTTAATTCTGGGGAACATGTTAACATTTGAAATATTCATGGATTATTGAGAGATGTAAATTTGCAACATCTGATAGCCTTAGATATTAACACTCATCAGTGTGCATAAATTCTGTTAAATATAAAATCTGATTCACCAGAGATTGCACTAATATTATCTACATATATTTAACCTTCAGTGCTCAAAAAAGACTTTCCCAGATATCAAAAAACTCTGTCAGCATGGATAAGCTGAAGTTACTGGTCAGCTGAAAGCAAAACTGCTAGTTTTATCCTCTTCAGCCAACAGTTCTGTAAGCATGTGGTGATTACTGGTAAATAGGAATGATTATTGTCTGATAATGATAAACTGTAAAAAAAAAAAAAAAAAAAAAGATTCATAGGTGTGAAAAGAACAACTGATTCTAAATCATAAGACTTATCCAGTGTCAACTGCTTTACACAGGAATTTCATGATGTTGATTAGCAGGTAGGGAGAAGGTCATTGTCTTTCTCTGGCATCAGCAAAACTCTTGCTTTCTTCAGTGTGAGTGGATTAAATTCAAACTCACTTATTTGCTGACCATCATCACACCCAAAAATTCTGGTAGCCAAAAAGCACCATGAACCCTTCAAAATAAGAAGACTCGAGCACTAAATCTTTTACCTGCAAATCCATTGCAATCTGTGCCAGCAAAACTTCTCTTTTAACTTGCTGAGGTCCTTGTTCCTCCTCTGAGTTTCAAGAGTCAGTTCTGATAAGAAAAATATTATCCTGAGGTCGTATCACCTCCACATCAACCATATCCTGAGCTGCATCCAGAGACGTGTGGCCACCAGGTCGATTCTCCCCCTCTACTCTGCTCTTGTAAGACCCCACCTGCAGTATTGCGTCCAGTTCTGGAACACCCAACAGAAGAAGGACATGGACCTACTGGAGCCAGTCCAGAGGAGGCCAAGAGGATGATCCAAGGGCTGGAGCAGCTCTCCTATGAGGACAGGCTGAGGGAGTTGGGGCTGTTCAGCCAGGAGAAGAGAAGGCTCTGGGGGGACTTTCTAGTGGCCTTCCAGTACCTGAAGGGGCTCGAGGAAGGCTGAGTGACAGAACAAGGGGTGATGGCTTTAAACTGGGCTAGAGTAGATTTGGGTGAGATCTGAGGAAGAAATTCTTTGCTATGAGGGTGGTGAGAACAGGTTGCCCAGAGAGGCTGTGGATACCCCCTCCCTGGAAGTGTTCAAGGCCAGGTTGGATGAGGGTTTGAGCAACCTGGTCTAGTGGAAGGTGTCCCTGCTGAGGGCAGAGGGGTTAGAACTAGATGATCTTTAAGGTCCCTTCCAACCTAAACCATTCTATGATCTCATTTGGACTCTGATCGCTTTCTTGATCTCTAAAGACATGGAGGAAATCCGGCAGTGTTTTTCCCTATGTAGCAGATCTGCACACTCGTCTTGATTGCATACTTTTATCTGTCACATCTGCCAGTATTTATAGTAGTGTCTGTGGTCACTTTCCCAGCTGTGCAGCTAAGCATTACAGAGCAGACCTGCTGTTTAACTATTATAGAGCAGAGGCTGCAAACTGGTGTTGAAAGAGTTACAACCACTGTGATTCTGTGGTACGTTCAGTGATTCGGTTTGCAGGTCTTTCTGAGCCTCACTAACATAAATTCAAAGAAATGGTAGAAGAAAAGCAAAGAAAGTTACTAAGTGCCCTGGGCAACTTCATGTTATAGAGCAGTCCAGCTGTCGAACGGAGCTTTAGTAAATCTTAAATCTTTGGTTTATATTTATATATGCTGAAATTTTCTTGGATCAGTGCAATGCCATGTGAAACTATGTTTACTGCTGGTCAGCTGATATTTGAGCCATCTTCAAAGAAATAAACTTTACAGCACACTTGTTAAATTAAGTGCTGTGTAACTGCCTTTTGCAAAATAAGACTGTGTAATAAGATTGTCAGAAGGCATTTTTAGAGTCATTTAAGTCAGTTTGGAAGGTAAATCCAAACCATACATAATAAAATACTTTCTCCCTCATTTGTAAGAAAGATTTTCTGAAATTGCTAACTGAACAATTATGCTTACAGTTAAGTTTTATAAGGGGCTTAATATATTTCCTATGTACATTTACATTACCAAGGTTAATAAGGAAAATCACCGAGAGACAGGAATCATTAAGAAGAGGTAGGGGAATTCAGGTAGCGAGGAGGTCCCTGGTGCCCCCTACTCTGGCAGGTCAGCCAATGTGAGAGTCGAGTGTGACACCAGCCACTTCTCAGGGGACAATTGCATGTAATGGGTGCTAACAAAGTGCATGAATAAAACTGACACTTCAATCAGAGACAGAATAACCTTCCAACCTCATTGCGTGTGCATGACGTACACTGGCCAAGCCATGTTTTTTTTTATTCTTCTGCCAGCCACCTGGATGAAGCCTGTTTTCTACCAGCTTCTCCTGAAATGCCACCAAGTAAAGGACAACTCGACACATGGCAGAAATGCACTGATTGTTTGCTTATGCTCTGGTTTGGCTGTGTATGACATAGACAGCACCCAAAAGGCATCAGTTAATGTTAACCCAAGCTAACAGCCACACAGTGCATTAACTTGCCCTCAGGGCTGAGTTTCTGGATTGCCATTGTCTCACCTCTGCCTGATTTACATATATCCCCTAGTATCTCCGTGGCATGCACACCATTGTTCCCCAGTACACCACAAGCTGCATTTCCATGGTGGATTTTGACTTCCTGGAGTCACAAGCATGCCAAGATGTAGAGTCTGTAACCAGGGAAGTCACATCAGAAATTTTCTGAAAGGTGAAACATGAAGCTGCAAATGCTCTTTTAGGATTAGTTGTAGGCTATTTTTTCTTTGTCTGCTGTCCATGGAAATGCTATTCACTCAGGAAAATATTATTGACATTTTCTGAGAACACAAAGGTAAAAAGCACCAACAATTTCTAGAGTATCAGGCTATCCTGTTGGAAGAATTGCATAACCATTATTGAAATAATGAGTGATGCATAGAATTATGAAATACAAAGTGTAAGGTCATACACTCAGCCTTGTTTAAGAATTCATGTTATGGTCAAGTAGCTTACCAACAGAAAATGTTTGGGAGGATAATAAAAGTATACATATCAGTCACTGTGGACATCTACATCTGAGATAATTGCATGGAGACGCCTTTGTAATCATACCTGGTTAATGGGTTCTATGAAGTCATAAAATATCTTACCCAAAAAGTCATCTCAAAAACATCAGATTAAGTAGACCCTAAAAGTACCTATTTCTGTCTATGAAGTCTTGGGAGGCAAACTCAGCTGTAGACATCCCCATGTATATATCTCTCTGGCTGACTGACCCAGTACGATGTACTGATGTACCAATGCATTGCACCCATCAAAAAAGTAAATGAGATTTTAATACATATCAAGAAAGGTAATTAGAGAGGAGAAAGGAGAGTATGAATGCTGTTGCACAGCAATCTGTAATGCTGGATATGCAATACACCCCATTAATGACTGATGCTTAAGGAGTCATTGGTTCTCATGTGGCTATCTAGTACTTAGTAGCTATGGCTATAGTCTTACAGTTAGGCACAGTTACTTTCTATGTGTGCCTGCAAATTTTTGTCTATTCAGAACAATTGTTTTCTTTCCTGCCTATTTTTTTAACATTAAGAACAAGGTAAAGGTGTGTGATAAATGTTTAATTCTGATTAGATTTGTTTGCCTTTTTTTTATTTGTTTGCTAATGTTGCCTTTAGTTTGGTGTTTGCAGTCAAGCAAACAACAAAAACCTCAAAAAGGAGGTGGCTGTGGTGTATAGGGTATAAACGT